ATGATGATTTCGATGATTTTTTGATTATAGAAAACCGGAGGAGGCGGCGGAAGATGATTTTGAGGATGATGATTTCGATGATTTTTTGATGATGGAAAACCGGAGGAGGCGGCGGAGGATGGTTTTGAGGATGATGATTTCGATGATTTTTTGATGATGGAAAACCGGAGGAGGCGGCGGAGGATGATTTTGAGGATGATGATTTCGATGATTTTTTGATGATTTAATGTTTTTCACCGCCGCCAGGCTGTGGCTCAGAAAATCTCATAAATGTAGGGGCTGCAGAGTTGGCAGTGGTGCTGGTGGGCATGGCGTCGGTGGTGAAAACGAGTCCTGCCACGGTGTGTACGCTGATGAGGTCTGTTGTGGTAGTAGGTGTGGTGCGGCCAGGGCAGCAACCGTGGTGTGTCTGGCTGTGGTCTGGCCGGTGATGGTGTCCTGGCGATCGCTGCTGCCGGTGTAAAGACCTCGATGACCGGGTCGGAGGTGACGTGGTCGTCCCTGTCGTTCCATGGGTCGTAGTCCTGGTGGGCTGTGGCGCTCGTCACTCGAGGTGGTGGTTGCTGTGTCGGTGCCTGTGCTGGAACGGATGGTGGAGCCTTCCTGCCAGCTGCAATGGCCTGTGCTACGACGTTGGTGATCTGTGGTGGTGGCTTGGCCGTTGGTGTCTCCAACTCCTCGTCGTCCGCTGGGATGGGTGGTGGTGCCTTCTTGGGCATGGGCTTGACCTCGATGCCACCGCCGCCGCAGCATGCTTGTTGTATGTCCTGGCTATTGGTGACGAAGCCCTGGGTGGTGGTGAGCGTGGCTGCTTGTTGTGCGGCGATGACTGTCTCATCGATGTAGGCGGGAACTTTGCCGGCACAAAAGGCGGTGGTGGAGCCTTAGCCGCGGGCTGATCGGTGTCGCCTCTGCCAAAGGAAGGTGCCGCTGTGGATCCCGCTGACGCCGATGTGCTGGTGGTCACCCTTGGTCCGGACAAAGTCGGTGTAGGCGACGACGCGCGTGTAGGTTTTGTTGGCCGGGATGCATATCCTCTGCGCGCACTCGGTGACCGGCCTCTTCCGGTGTTGCGGCCTGCTCCGCCTCTGGTCACCCTGGTGTCTGTCACTGGAGGACCACCTGCGTTGATGTACTGCTGGTACTCGGCTGCTGTCGCCCACTGGGTCCAACTCATGCCGAAAACGAAGGCCTTGGCCGCCATGATGTCCCCCGTGGACATGGATCCCAGCAGCATGTTGGAGCCGGCCTGGCGCGTGACGACCTCAAATCTTTTCGCCGCCTGGATGTAATGCAAGATGATCCTAGGGCGTTGATTGGTATGTTGGAGGTACGATGAATAGACGGCCTCCGCAAAAGTGTTGCCATGTACATTTTCACAATGTACCCTGGGGCAATGTCCTCTAAAGAAGTTCCTACATGGTGAGTTAAGGGGTACCCAAGAAAAATTGATGAAATCTGGATGGATGCACTCGCAATGAGGTCGCCGGCAGCGCTGCCTGTTACAGATGTCAGGGCAAACCCTGCCCTCTGCTTGGAACGATGCGGGGATGCCGTCCGGAACGTGCTCGGGGAACTCGCCGGTGATGCTTAAAGGAGGCATGACCATTTCGCTGGCCGTGATGTTCTGCCCGAAGAAAATCGCCCACTCTCTCATGGTGACCGCCGGGAGTTCGGCCCAGCTGGGGTACGACACGATGTCATGGTTGCGTTCCACGAGGTGCTGGTTCGCCATCACTGCTGGTGGAGGATGATGTAGAGGAGGATGAGGATGTGCCAGCTGCGGATCGAGGTTCTTCTACCTCGCGAGCAGTATCTGTTTTCAAAATGATGTCCGTGGCGTCCTTGAGGAAACCGGCAAGGAACTCGCCCCTAAGGCGAGCTTTGATGGCCACAAAGAGGTCGTTGATGGCGAGCCCTGCAACCTCCGTATGGAAGTCACCCACTCTCCGGGTGATCTGGCGTCCGGTCTTGTTCTCGGACTCAAGTTGTTCCCAGAGCCAATGTTGGCCCCTGTCCAGAAGCTGGTGCACCTGCTGCCTATCTGCAGAATCAATGGTGTCTGATGCACAGATGCCCAAAAGCAGTCAGAGAGCAGAAAACAATGGCAGCACAGCTGAAACTAAACTTTTGGTGTTTGATGCGGGTGCACCAGCTGTAACCCAAAATGGCGACGGCAGAGCACAAACATGAAGATCCGCATGCCTTTGTGGTTATCAGCTTGGTGCTAGAAGAATTGTCATTACTGACGCAAGCGTAATCCACGACGTTTGCTCAAGCAAGCAGCTGCTTTGAACTGATTTCTGGTGCTCGTGGATCCTTCCCCAACACCTAGGAGCCCCCTCAACTGTTCCACCTGAAAGCACGCGCCAAAACGCCTTCCAAATGCTTGCAGATCAGCATACATTAAAGTGCTGTACAGTACACGCTTCCCTTCTGTGAGGTCCTTGCGGAAGGTCAATTCCATGCCAAGGACTTCTTTTTGCATCTCAGCAACAATGCCAGGCAGTGCGGTGCTGTCAGCAGCACGGGGCGCGGTCCGAACGAAACCACCTCGCAGCGAGGCCTCCCGCCCATCCTCAGCACAGATGTCGCGGCATGCAAGGCCTAGCAAAAAGGAAGCACGGCTTGGTCGGGGTGCGACTCTTCAGTCTGCAGGAGAACTTCCAAGTCTGCCAGGTCCTCTCTCTGCTTCGCAACTCTTGCAAAATATCAAGCCCCCTTCCCCTTCCAAATTCAACCCTGCCCCGTCCTCCAGGTCATCCTCGTCATAAAGCTCCTCCCTAGGGCAATGCACCAGTTGCTACAGCAGCTGCTAGCAATCCCCGTCGCCCCGTTCCCCCTGCCACCAGGGCGCGAGAGCCCGGAGAGCGCCAATTTCCAAAGCTGTACAGCTGCTTCTGCCTCAGTCATAAACAATTCTTTCGATGGAGACTGCGAGATGCAGTGAAACTTGTTCGCGCCTCCGGGCAAGGATCGCGCGAGGCTGCTGGAAGCGGCGATCTGCAGAGGTGGTGAAGGGCATATGAAGGGCGACCAGTCTACTAGCGGATCAGCTTTCATTTGCGGGCGCAGGAAGTCCTAAAGCTTGTACGCAACTGTGGATGGAACTCTTCCGTCATGTGTCGATGCCTGTGCGCATGCACGGCGTCTGGGCCTGACGGTTGGAGTCCTGGGAGGCGTCTCCGGGGTGTCCCACTGTGGCTGATCTTCGTCGCAGCTGGGCTGACAGTGCGCGGCATGATCCTCCAGCCAGTCGAGGAGCTGGCAGGTCCTCAAATGTTTCATCATCTTACTGAGACTCCACTCTAACACTACACGGACAACTACAAATGCCAAGCAGATTATGCTGGTAAGAAACTCGCTGCAGTAATACACGGACCTCACACAACTGGGAATTCAAATCATGCCTGTGGGTGATCCTTTGCTTGTCATGTGTGGTGCCCAGACCATCCGGCATAATTAGTCTGCATTTCTCGGCAAGGTGCCGACAGAGCGAGCATTGTCCCACCGCAGGTCGGCCACAAACGACGCAGAGCTGGGCCATCCTGAAACGGTATACGGGTATGCGGGTATGCGGATAGAAAGCTGCTCTTCTGCTCCCTGCGCCTCGCTGAGAGCCTCTCCTTCCACACGCTCCGAGCTCACGGAGCATTCCCTCCACTAAAAGTTTCCGCAAGCTCTGGGTTGTGCCATCGGCCCTCACCAGCCCGCAAGCCAGCACCCTACCTGGACTCTGAGCAGAGACGCTTTGAGAAGTGCCGCACATTGCATCTGTAAAGCTAATGAACTGCAACAACAAAAGCCGAAGCCTGATGGCAAACCCCTGCTTGGAATTCACATTCTGACCTGAAAAACACATAATTCTTTTCCCTCAAAAGAAGGCTTCCAGTCAAGTTGAACGGAGCGACTGAGCTTCAGTCCCAACAGTGCCAACGCTAGTGACTCTAGTGCTGGTGCGCTAGTGAGTGCGGGTGCTGCAGTTGAGTTCCAGTAGGCAGCTCATAGCTTAGGCTGCACTATCTCTGCGGTAGAAGCCATGGCTGCTTTCAGAGCGTTACTGGCCGTGTGACGCACAGCGATCTGCTTACCAATAGGCAGTGGACTGGATTGCTTACAACTGCAGCACAAACTGGACAACAACCTCAGTTCCTTTGGAACGCCGTCGGCCCTCAAAGTGAGCACACGCAGCAAGATGCCTGGTCAGCAAAGTATCAAGGAGCTGCTTAAGTTGCCTTGCCATGCCTTCAAGCAGGAAAATGTAACACTTCTCGGCGGGCCTTGGATTCACCTTCAATAATAGGATAGTCGTCTGCATCCTTCTTCACAACGATCGAGCTTGATAGCTCTTTCTCCAACTGGTCCTTGTCCAGCTCTGTGTTTGTGACTGCCTCGGCCCATCCAACATGCGCGCGTTTGGAAGCATGCCTGCAAGGTCTAGCATTAAGAGTTTGGATAGAAGGTCATACCTGGAAATCCAGAAATCATTCGTTACTGAAAACCTGCGATTTATTTGTGGTACCTCAGACCTGCCTGTGGTCCAAGTGTGCAAGATCTGCGATCCAAGTGTGATCCCATCCATATGTGGTCCAGGAATCAAAATCACATGGCCGTTCTATTGGGGTTCACACTTCTTTCGCACTTCCCGGAGGCCCTGGCAGTGCTCACTCTTTTCTCACGCTTTTTTAAACACTACTTTCACACCTTCTTCGCGTTTCATATGGTTCACACGTTGTTCATTTCTTTCACGTTTATGTCACTCTTTGCAGAACTCATGATTCATGGTTCACACCCTCTCGCAAATTCGGATCACAAATATTCATATTCAAATCACAGAAATAATTCCTACATGGTCCTACACACAGACCCAGGCAATATTGCAATCCAAAATCTTAAGTCTAGCATGTCCACCACTCTCAGGAACGCACATCGCTCTTTCCGGTGTCCGCGACATTCCTTGCATGCTGTCTGCGCCAAAGGCTCCCAAGGCACTTCACAAAGACATGGACGGGCGGCGACAAGGTCGGAGACACGGGCTCCGAAGGCTCTGGCACAACCTGCTCCGCAGCGTCGTCGGCGGCTTTTGCCAGAGCCTTAGAAGCCAAACTCTCGTATGCCACCTGCACTATGCCCCTCCTGTCATTTCTTGTGTCCAAGACTGCGACCTTGTGAGCAGTATACCTACCTGCACTGTCTTGCAAAGACAGCCACTGGTCCAATGTCTCCTCAGATGCCCACTAGGCCGCTAGATGGTACTGACATGCAAGCAATGACTTTCACCGTTGCCAATTTCAGATGTAGCAATCTTGGCGGACAGCAACACTAATCGCTACCCGTATCTGTAAAATGATGCCATCGACTTGTTTCGTCCTCTTGGTTTCATTGAGCAAGGGGAACTTTCATTTGTGGGGACTTGGCGGATGGCTGTGACCTTTTTTTGGAAACGCAAAATCCAAGAAGGGTCAACACTGGATACCGAAGAGCAGTGGAAGATAAAGCCCGAGGCTTTATTGGAAGTCAGTTGCTGCTACTGCAGTTGGGGAGGTGCTTGGTTTGTTGCGGCTGTTGGGATTGGCAGGAAGCAATTGCCCACCTTTGGAGGCTTCCAGAATCAAAATGCCATTTTTCAACTGACTTGCCGGCCGAGCGTCTGTTGGAGCGATGGTCTGCTCAAGCAGCTTTGAGACCGTTTCCGCTCCCATTTTGGTGAGGGGCTGGCGGCCTATAAAAGGTCGCCAGATCGCCTGCGCCTCGAACATTGAGATTGACTTGCATCAAACAAAGAGTTCGCCTGGCCTTTTCGAAGAGATCTAGGGAGAAACCTTCATGGAAGGAGCGGTCCTAAGTAAGACAAGAGGAACAAGCAGTTGACGGAGACCTGCTCTCATTCAACTGCTTTTCCTGCTCTCTATGGCCAAGGTGCTGTCACATCATGCAGCGAGGGTAGTGGGGGTGAGCCACCACTGTTCGGCCCGCGGCAGTGGGGGAAGAAACGGAACGGAAACGCCGTGCCTTCCCGAACCTGAACACTAATTTGACGCACTCAAGTGATGTCAAAAAATGCTTCTTTTGATGGAAGCGTTGGCGTTGCCGCCAAGATCTGCCCGTGCCGGGAAACGTTTGGAGCTGTCCCGCCGTATTGCTCTTCGAGCTGGTTCGGCTCACAAAGCTGTCTCATGGACTTCGCCTTAACTGGCAACTTGCAAACTGCTTCTTGCACAGACATGATATGAAATCATGTCATTGAGTTTGTCAAGGTGCAATGTCCGCATCCGCAACAAACTCGACCTTCGACTTCTTGTCTTCAGGTATGAGAGAGTTGACAATTGCCCGGACAATTGAAGGCATGTGGAAGATCTTCGTAGTGAAGTTACGACCACCTGGTACACTGGTGCGCGTGTGCACATGGAATGCGCCAGAGTTTTCAGACACAGTGGATCAAGCTGAAAACATGTGCCAAGGAGCAGTAAACCTCCTCCAATAAGCGGGTGACATTCCTGCCAAGGCCAAATGTCAACTGCTGGAAAAGGCTTCGAAGGTGTGCCTTTCTTCATCCTTTTGTTTGCTAAAGGTTAAGGGCTACCTGTGAAGTCGCATGAATATGATGTGCCTGCAAATGGTCCGGAAGGCAGAGCCTGCTGCCATGGACAGGCCACAGCCTGCCAGGTCCTGTCACTGTCACAGCGGAGCACACTGGTGATGCATAAGATTCCAAGCCCGGGCATTCTTCAAACCTCGCCGGCGGCTCTACAATCAGAACCCAGTTCTCGACCCGCCCTGGAACCAGCAGGTACCGCACTGCAAACTCGAGGATAAACAGCATCATCCTGCCAAACGTCCAATATGGCATGCGTGCCAAAATGCCGTGCAAAAAAAAACCCATAAGCGCTCCTAGTTGCACGGTCTGCATCAAATTTGGTGATCTTTTCCATCCTCCAAACCTTCCGTTGGAGAGAGTTGAAAACCATTTCAAAGCCACTCCGAGGGGTAAGGCTTGGGCCAGGATAGGTCGGCAGGATCGATCTCTCCCATGCCAGTACATCATGCCGCCCTTCAAATCATTGAGCACGGACTCCTCCACAACAAAAGAAGCATCCGAAACGGATGCAGCTGCGAACGACAGCGAGGCAGCCTTCCACAAATGCATCTTCTTCTTCTTCTTCTACACAGGCACTCCTCGTGGACTGGCATCTTCTGCACCCGCATCTCCAAATGAGTTGATATGGTGCTGAGAGCCTCAAGTACTTGGCTGCCTGCACTGCATTCCTGCACGGCATTGAAAATCACAGCCCAGTTGCCTTGTCCACGCGCAACTTGGACTGCCTCAGTCGGTGGACACCCGACGGACAGCTTGCGCAGAGCCTGTGACGTCCTACTTTGATTGAAGCCCGTTGCAGCCCTGGCGCTGCAAGATCCGCAGGGCGTGCAAACGCACGTAGGATGGAATGATTCCATCACCTTCGGGGGCCAGTGCCTGCCAGGACACGGCTTATGCAATTCCGTACCGTGAGCCATCTCTTCCGCACCTTCTCGTCTTTCAGCGCATCATGCAAGTTTCGCAATGCTTTTTGTTCGTAGTCAAGCAGCGGCACGTTCAGGAAAATCAGGCGGTTACCTCAAGATTACAGCTGCACGCCCAAAGTGGGTGCTTTCATCATGCAAGCGAACACTGCGTACTGGCAGACAGGCAGCCGGTCTTTCCCTCTGCCGCTGGCACGCCGCCCCGGTGGATGTCATGTGGTGACGGTTCGTACAACACCTTTTGACCAACGAACGTTGATGCGCATCTCTGATGCCAAGCAAAGAGCGCTGCCAAGACACGACTTCAGGTGGCAGCGTGTACTCGTGCAGGGCTTGCGTTAGTACCTGCGCCAAGGGACGGCATTTCTTGCGAGGCAGCTTCGGACTTGTGACGTGAGAGCCCAAGGCACCAAGCCGCCGATGGCTGGCGCTGCATGCGCCTCTTCAAAGAGTGTCGCCGTAAAGGCCCTGCCAGCAGCTAGCTCTGAAACAACAGCACCCAACAAGAAACGCTTGACCCACGGGCCTCTTGGAGCGGGCCCTTGGTATCCCAAAACTTTCTGACATGCAGACGTGGGCTCCTGCTGAAAGATGACAGCTGAGACTGGTGCGCCATACATAGCCTGAGCACCTGAGCGCAAAGTCGCTGAGGCAGATAAACTCAGCGAGTTTCGCTGACAACTTGGGGTCTCAGACCTCTTCAAGGCACGCAGACAGGGACTTTGAACCAAGAAGGCGACGCGAATGGTCGGAGCACTAGGAAGGAAGGAGATACCAGCCCCAGTTGCTTTCAACGCAGCTTACATCATGCTGAGCAACAGGGCTAGTTGCAAGTAACTAGTTGAGCGCAAAAGTATTGGCGTAAAGGTTGTTGAGTCTGGCAATTTACTGCGCGACCTGAAGACAGGCGACGCTCCGCAAGGAAACACGGCCTTTTGTCCTGGGAGCCTGGGCGAGTCTCTTCCTGGGCCACCCAGAGCTGGCAACTCCTGCAGGTCAAGCTACCAAAGAAGCTTCGTCTCTGAAGAACCTCCTGCATTGCCTTCAGATCTGGACTCTCCACTCAAGAAAGCTTTGCACCGCTGGTGGCCTGTTGAAGTGAAAGATTCGCCCGTCTGCCAGGCGAATGCTCAGGTCGCCAGCTGGGCTCAGCTGCAGCGACTCCTTGTCGAGGTCCTCGAGCGCACTATGTCTTGTATTAGTAGCCATTGTAGGCCACTGTCACTTCACGAAACAAAGAAACGAATCCAAGGAGCCATTGGCTCGCAGAGGTGACCAATTTGCGTTTGCACGACCAGACGGCCGCGCAGGTCGACCACTCTGAGGCCCGAGTCGTTGCCCAATACAACCAGGATTCCTCAGCCAAAAACAGAACACCTAAGCCGTGCTGAACTCAGGCAGGTTGGCGCCTCCTGTCTTGATGTGGAGCTGCATCACTGGGCTGTCAAGCACCTTGACACGAAGTCTAGTGAGGAGTAATTAGTACTGTGCTTGCTTTTGACCAGGGAGCCTGAAGCCTTTCTAAACACATACGTCAAGCGAGAGTCTACAAACGTCAGGACAGCATGGGGTGCGTCAGTAAGTCTCGGTCCATAGGCGGGAACAAAGAGTATCCTCCCAGCAAGCTCAGTACATGAAGGGAAGATGGGGTCGCCAACGCCACGAAGCCGTCAGCCAGAGCGGTCTCTTCTACACGGCCTCGGATCTTGTGCTCCCAGGCAAGCTCGCCACGATTCCAGGCCCTCACTCTGGTGTGAGACCCGCTACCTTCCAGGAGAAGTGCTACGCCAACCTCGTTGTCCACTAAATAGCTGGGCCGTTCCAGTATGCGCTGAGTGGAGCTGGAGGATGGATCCTCCGCCGCCTCTTCAGAATGTTCGCTCTCGCTGCTGGCTTGCACGCCATCCTTCTCTTCCAGAGCACCTCCGTTCCACAGGAAATCTGGACCATTGCACATGTCAGACATGAACGTTCCCGTGCTTCTGTTCATGGTAGCCTGCCCAATTTGCGTGACCTCTTGCTGAGCACCCCATCGGCTACAGTACGTAGTGTAGCGGACACTGTGATGGCGCAGTTTTGCTTGCTCTAGTATGTCAACCAGCTGAACCAGAAATCACCGAGAATTTCGTTTGCCAAGCATCAAGTACGAACGCTCCGCTACGAGTGCATCGATACGCGGCTCAAGTCTACCCTTTTAGCTCCGGGCAAGTCGTCACTAATTCGCAGCAACATTCAGCTGCAGCATGCAGGCGACGAAGCTTGCATTGAGAAACAAAGCACTAGAAGTTCCAAATGTGCTGTTGTGCTGTCATGTTGACTGAGCAATGCAAGTGCAAGCCACGATGCGGTCATGGGTTATTGAGCGGCTGTGGGGGAGGCAGTCCCCTTGCATCACTCTACTATGACACGATGAACTGTACAAAAGTCGTGATAGCCTGCCACATCACGGCCAGTGCGTGCAACTCGGGAAAAAGGTTTCAAGCTCCTGGACATCTGTGCCTGAAAGAACCATGACCTTGATGTAGGCCGCGGGTTCGACTCCCTGGCGGTTGCACCCAAAATTGTGTCACAAAAGCAGCGTTCTCCTTTTTGGAGCCTGGCACGGGATCTCCTTGACCTGCAGGCGGCCTGACCTGTCGACAGCAATTACAGAGAGATTACGAGAGCAGTGTCGAGCATAGACGCTTCCCAAAGTAGTGCGAAGCACTGAGAGAGAAACAACTCTTCCAACTCGTCTTCAGCCAAAGTCTTGAAATTGACTGGATCGTCCTGTGCGGTGCAGTCTCTGTGGGTTTCGTCATTGTGGTATCAATTTGGTCCTCTGCGCAGCTTTCTATTCCTGTCGTGCGAGCAGTCAATCTTTAACTTAAGACGAGCAGCTTGCAGCCATCTGCTGATCATTGCAAAAGCAACCAGATCAGTGGTATGGAAAGGCTGGACACAGGGCACAAAAGGAAAGCTGCCCTTTACAACACATCCAAATTTATGTTCTCACCAACCCCACCGTGCAAGCTCTGCAGCTATGCCATCAAGCGTCGCAGTCCCCGCACATTGCTCGTGACGATCTTCACTGTGGAAACCATGGAGCGCTCACTCATTGCGAGTAGTATCTCCTGCACCGCTCGCTTGGTCCCTCCGAACTAGCGTTGTTGAAACCAGAAGCTGTCCTGAGGATAGAGGCCGGTGGATATCCAGTAGGTGTCTTCCCGGCCATCGATGATATTGTCGCCCTCAGCATTGAACGACTTGCTGGCACATGGCAATGCATAAATATTTGCTCAGCAAAGAGCAGGGTGTCCCTCATCAAGCGAGGACACCATGACGACCTAACACGCTTCATCAAAACTGTCTCTGGCCGCGATGCGGGATTTAGAGCAAATACACATGTTTCCTCAAACGTCTTGCTACAAATCTGCTAAGGTCTAGCTGGCAGGCTCGCCTTTCTATGCTCATGGCTCTTCCCGGTTCAGAAGGCCCGGACTTCGCGGTGATCGAGAAATGAAAAGTAGATGAGTAGATGAGGAAGTTTCTCTTGGCCACAGCTCAACGCCAACAATTACACCCAAGCTCATGCCCATGTGACACAATTTATTACGGTTTGCCGTGCCCAGGCCTCATCTGCCCTTCTTCGCGATAACAGCGAAATACCATGCAACTGGGGTCCACAAGCTCTGAAGATCCAAGGTCCCAACCCTGCCACCAACTTTCTTCCCCACCAGGTCCGGCATCCTGGGAATCGGTAGACCGGTTATGGTTATGGTACACTCAGAGCGGAACACGGTCTTGACTGGAGATCTGGCCCAACGCAACCAGCCAAACAGCAAGGCCCTTTTCGCCGCAGCGTGAGGCTTGAGCAATTCAGCCAGAACGCAACATGGCAGAAGTGAGCAAAACTTGTTTCAAAGCGGCAGGCATTCCTCTAAGCACTGCTTGCATCCTTTTCCTGGCGCTGCGGCGGGACTGCTTTCACATACCCAGGCTCCTTGTGAGTCAGATGCCAACAGCTCGTTCACATCTCTGCCAGTCACTGTGGTTGAAGAGACAGGGCAGTCCAAGCGTGGCAGCTCAATAGAAGTCGTTACTCTGCTCTCCAGCCTTGCGCTTCAAAGCCTTAGAGCACGACAATTGCCGAGACAAACTGTTGCAGGAAGAGCAAACGACATCAAATGTATCCAAACCACCTTCCTAAACCTACCCCCTGTTCTGCTTCATCCACGCCACCCGTGCCGCTGGAGTCAGGGCGACGTCCAACTTCCCCATCCCAGGCCGAAACCGGAGCTCATGCCCCGTCCTCAAAAGAATGCCAAAGCACTCTCTCTTTAACGGCCATGCGATATTGTTCTGCCGCATCATGTGCGGCCAAGTCGTTTTTCTCCGAGTCTCCGTACTATAAACTTCTAAAGGGTGAGATGTAGCTTCGGTCTTTTGAACCTTGAAAGAAAATTGAATGCAAATCAAACTGGAAGACTGTGCTTCTAGGAAGATATGCGTAAGGCCCTTCCAAGCGATGCATGGTGTAGAAGGGAGTCCTAATTTCCAGTCCAAGTCAGTTCTCCAGGCTTGACACATCCATCTAATCCTAAGCCGAAGCCGGCATATAACCTACAACAATATATCGCCGCCTGGGAATCGTAAGATAGGCTTTGCAGCAAGCCATTGCGCAAATCCCAGGAGGACCAACATATAAACCAGCAAAACAATATTGCAGCAGCTCATAAAGTCATAAATGTCCAATAACCTTCTGCAATCGTCGCAAAACTGTGGCCACAAGAGCACTCCATTCGCGGATTCAATATGTTGCTGAAAATCTGCCTGTGGGCAAGATCCCATGTTTTTGTGAGAGCTGTAAGAGTATTTGGTTTCTAGATGTCCTGTAAGGCTCTGTAGAGCTGTGTGTGGAGAGCACGCCGAGGAAACGAGTGAGCTACTCCATGTGCGTTTGGCTACTGTATGTGGATGCCGACGTTTGAAGTTTGGGGCCTTTGGAGGTCCCAGAACGGTAAGGGCACCCAGAGCAGCCAAAAAAGTGCTCTGCAGTGCGTTTGAACCAGCAGTTGAATGCTTATCTTCGCTGCAGAGCTACGACATATCTTGTCCACCCCACACTCTCCTCACTGTATCAGGACTACAGAAATTCCTCAACCAGCCTGCTGCCGGCGTATCACCTTCATTGCCTGAAGTCTTGTGCACCTGCAATTACCTTTGTATTACACCCCTATGTATATACACAATCAAAAATTTGAAGTCCTGTCCTGGCAAACCTCAACTCTCAGCAATAAGAAGCACCAGAAGAATTATCAGTTTACCGTTTACCGCAGCTTGAAAAGGATTCAGTTTCAGAAATGCGCGAAACTCCGACTGTCAGCAGCGGTGAGATCTGTTCTTCTGCGCAACGCCTGTTTTCATGGATACGAATGCATACGCACAACATATTTGGTTTTCGTTTGTTGCCACGTCCGGAACCGGAATACCATAGGATGTTCCATCAAACGTCAAGAAAGAACAACTCCTCACGAAAATGGCATGCCCTCAAATGCCATGAATCGCCAAATGGGCTCAATATGGCACAGTCTTGTCACTAGACCCTGCTTCTCTGCTACAAGTCATTGAACCCGCAGTTGCCAAAACTATTATGTTTGCCACGTTCTTCCCGACTCTTGCAGCCCACTCTCTCATGCCAACATTATCCACAAAACATTCTCGTTCATAAACGTACTTGCGACCACCGCCATAGGCTTGCACATGCCTCTGCACGGTCTGCGCAGAACTTTCCAAAGCCGCACGTAAAGCTGCAGACCAAGATTCTCCGCAAACCAGGGATGCCTGGCGGACTTGGGGTTTCCCAAAATTAGGTGTACCATTTCGGGGGTCCCCCAAAAAAAGGACTGTAGTATTTGGGGGTATATATTGGGGTCACCCTATTTACGAAACTTCCACTTCAATGTGCGTGACCTACCTGTTCTCACAGCTGCATCCCCCCCCCCTCTCTCTCTCTCCCTCTCGCATATATAGCTGCCCGTCCTGCCTGGACAGCTGAACGGCGAAAGCCTGCACCAAATCTCGTCCATTTAGAGGGCTTCGAGTAATGGCCGGCTGCGGCAAAATGATTAATTACATGCAACGGTTTTCTGCACTAACATGCACAGGAGGATTGCCTGCTTGGCTTTGCCGTCGCGCAGCTTCTTGCTCATCTCGTCCAGGTAAGCCTTCACCTCGTCCCAAACCGAAAAATATCGTGTGCCCCCCGCCCTCCTCCCACAACAGCAACGTTGCCTTTCCAACGTTTTCCAGGATCACTGTTGCTCAGAAGCTCTGTTGTTGGGGGGGAGGGGGGGAAGATGAGGACAAAACATCTGAAAAGCAAACCCCCAACTCAACATCTTGCAGCCCCAGTCTTTAGAAGCTCTGGTATCCAGGGTGGGTGGTGTGGAGAGGGTTAAAAGTAAACCCCAATCCAGCATCTCGGAACTCTTCAAAGCTGACCCCATAACACGCTAACATCGTGGAAGTCTCCGGCACTAGACCCGGTAACACCACATCTTCCTGCTCTTTAAAATGAAAAGGCGCCCACGATCCCAGATCCTCCAACTCTCGAAGGACTCTGATGATTCGCATCTGTGATCTAGGGATGTGTATCACTAGCTGCCACAATTTCTATCTTTAGGATTTCTGGCTCGCGCCTATCATATTCTCATCGCTCGTGTGATTAGCAACTTCAGGAACTAGCAACAAGTGACCGCAGTAGGATTCTCAAAAGGCAAGATTCATGAAACGTGTCAGGAAATCCGAATTCATCTCCTCGTTTGGTTTGTGCGCTCTCTTGCTCCTCTCACACAACATTCGTTCTGTAGTTGAGTGAAGTAAGTGAATGACATGAGCGAGCGGAGCGAAATCACAATCCAACACTGAACAATGAGTAAACAAATTGAAGAGATGAAGTTAGAGAATGCATTTTGATTTGGCTTCATGGCTGTGAGGCGTTCATGAAGGCTTCAATCTTTGGAAATTTGTTCCCCCCAGATGCTTACATCTCCTGCAAGATTGTGACAGTCTGCTAAACAAAAGAGAACCATCAGCTAAAGAAAAGCCCTAAAGACAGAAACCATAGGACCTCAAATGCTATGTTAAGCCCTAAACCCTGAGCCCCAACACCAGAATTTAACCTCCTAACTACTTCGTCGCGAAATCGCTTCATGAATTACAAAGAACTGTGCGTGAAATGAGCGTAGTGAGTGAGCTCATTGAAATCTAACAATGAGTACCCTCGTTTCATTCCTCTCGCGTGCCGTTCCTCATTCTCAAGATGTGCAGTATTATGGGCATGTGAACTACATAGACGGTCCAAATCGGATTTCGGCCACCACGAAATACCGGGAGGGCTGCCATTCGCGCATTCCAACCCCCAAGTTGGAGGACACAGAGTTTCTACGTAATTCACCTGCCCATGATACCGCACATCTTACTTGCCTACGACGTCTATTCCATGCAAGTTCTTGTGTTACATTAAAATGATCTGCACCTGCATCCGACCGGTCAACCCCCTAAGCAACAGGCTGCCATTGCAACAAGTGCCTCGGCAAAAACGTATGGGGCGCATTGAGAAAGCCATGTCTACACCTGATTCCCGCTTGTCCCGAGCCAAGCTCACTTAACTTTGATGCGCTATGCCACGAGCATTACGGACCTCTCGCTGCTGATAGCACAGCGCGAACAAGCATTTCCTGCTTTGGCCAGAATGGCACTTCAAACTTCGTTGCTTCTGTTACCCAGCTTTCACCAGCTGCTTTTGTTTTGCTGGGCTGGGATCTGAGGAAGCCTGGCCATGGCCTTTATGCCAACAAAGAACTCTTCAAGTCAAAGGTCCTGCCCCCCACCTGCAGTAATTACTCTAGCTGAGGAGCATTGGCTGCAACTCCATCCTCCGTGTCGGCGCGCTTCTGGAGAATCTTGTCGAAATCACGGAAGCACGCCTGAGTCAACTGCGGAAGTCACGTGCCCCAGCCGCCCCAGCACTGGCCTCGTCCGCGGGGGTGGTAGCCGCAGGTGTGGCTGCCACGGCAGGGGCGGCAGGAGGCAAGGCAGAGATGACCGGAATGGCTGAGGTAGCCGGCATTGCCATGACTTGCCTTGGTTCCGAGCTGCAGGAGGAGAGAATCAAGAGAATGGCTTTCTCAAATTGCCTTGTCAAGTGGCTGCAGGCCGCAAGGCTGCTGCGTTTGAAGCCACATCGCGTTGTCGAGCTGGTTCTGCAAACCACTTGGATCGTGCCACGTAGACGGCTGCGCAGGCTGCGCAATCTGTGCAGGCTGCGCAAAGCAAGACCCAGGTGTCGGCAGGCCTGGAGGCACCCGGATCAACGTGCCAACACGTGAAGATCTGAAAGCCCAGCCTTCAGGCGGATGGACGTGGCCCATTTGGCCCATTCGTCCGGGTCCGAGCACCGAAGGCGCCTTCGACTGGGCCTGGCCAGGCTGCGCAGCCACGAAGGGCTGAAATTGAACCTCAGCTCATCTCAGCTCATCTCAGCTCCGTCTGGACTCGTGTCCACACTTGTACACGGAAATTAGGTGGATGTAAATCCAGGCTCCACGCCGGAAGGTTGCACTTGAAGGCAGCTGGGAGTGACTGGATGTTCGGCGCAACAGCCTGTTCAAACCACAACTGCATGAACACCTGGAGTCAGGCGTCATGCTATGGCAGAAGAAAACAGAAGAGCAGTGTCCCCAGTCCTTCTGCAAGGCTTCCTCTTCTTCCGCAGGCCACTCTTCACGTGGAGGCCGCGGGTGGCTGCAGGTTTTGCCTTGCGCAGAAATGCTTTCAGCTTTAGACCGCGTTTGCACAGCGACTCGCAACTTCAAACCGCTTTTGCCAAGTCCTGTGATCCCTATGTCAGCATGTCATCAGGCGCAGGACTGAACTTCTGCCAGGTATTCTTTCACACCGTTAGCTTTCTAGAAACTTGCGGCCCGTGGGCAGATCTTGTTCCTGCCGAAGTTCAAGTACCCACAGCCTGCCAAAGTGGGCAGTCTTTCCACCGTCACATCTCAAGAAGCGCATCTGATTGGACGCGGTCCACTAGGGACCACACCAAGAGAGCAGACAAATCAAAGATTCATTGACTAAGGTACACTCGGTCGGAGGCTTGGCCGGCCTTTGCAATCCCAGTCCGGCGGTGGACCCTTGCGCCAGTTCTCCAGCCATCGCCGCTTCTTTTCCATGCGCTTTTGACCTTGAAGCAAGAGCCAGCTGCATGCTACAGAATCCTTCTTGCAGGCAAGGGGCTGTTTTCCTCAGCCTGGAGATGCAGAGAGTTCACTCATCCAGAACTGCTCAGCTTGTGCAAAACAAGGCCTTCTCATCCCTAGGATCCTTGACGGCTGCACGCAAGAACTTCAGCTTCCTGGTTGTCTTACAACTGAAGCCGGGCACGGCAAAGGCAAGCAAAGCAACGGATCCCTCCTTGCGCGAACCTGGTCTCCTGCGCTGCAGCTCGAGTTTCTTGCGCAAGCTGAGCACATTTAGCCAAGCAGTCTCCTCGCGTTTCGTTGATGTAGAGCTCAAACTCAACGACGTCATCCTTACTGAACTCCAAGTCCTGCAAGTCAAGGAAGCTTACCCCGACAGCTTTTATTGCAATCGGCTAGGGTCTGCATTGAGTCATTCAGCACAGCTGGCCCCACTGTGGAGAAGCCATCCAAGACAGATGCGCATGCTGGCGCTCCAACATCTCCGGGTTGTCGGTGATATGCCAGAAGACAGTGCCCCTGAAGAAGTCGGAGACCACAAATCCCCAGTTCCTCAGATCACTGCTTCATCTCTGCTCCAGCTTGGATCAACAGTCTATGACCCAACACCTCATCATCCGCTTCAGCACAGCCACGAGCTGCTTAGCCAATTAATTGAACCCAAGAGTCTGTGCCTTCACCAGTTGCCAGTTGCAGCTTAATCGCCTTGGAAGTGCTGTCCAAGCTCCCAAAACCCAGAAGAAAACCAGGCAAGACTTCAAGCAAGCGATGAAAGGCCACGAAGGAAAAAAAAAAAAACACGCTCTGGGTGAGGGACTTCTGGGGAGTTCTAAGGATTGCTGAGGCAAGAGTCCCCTCCATGGTCTGGCCAAGCACTTCTCTTGGCTCTGGCTTCCACGCCTGCAGCCAAACCCCAGGACTCAGAGCTTTGCTGACCCAGTGAGCCTCTGATAGCCTAGCCCTGCGTCCCTCTGAAAACAATGCCTTTTCAGAAAGTTGCACATCTCGTGACTGCGCAAGACACAGAACTGCATGGTGACTTGCATTGCTCGATCTGATCAAAGGGCATCCAGCGCATGAGACTGTAAAGGAGTGTGCAACACAGCGACTCTCCGACGCTGCCTCCTCCGGGTCCTCCTGCTGCATGCTGGGCAGGAGGAGCTTTACAGCCTCACAGCGGCCATTGAACTCGACCACCTCGAAGGTCACCGGGTCCTCATCCAACTCTTCGTGAATAGTCCCTTTCTCTTTACTGTCCATCAAGCTCACTCAACATGCCTAGCTTCTGCCTCCAAGCCTGGCTTGTAAACATTTTCAGGCTGAGGTGCTTTCTTCCCATACCTGACTCCTCGCAAAGAAGGGCTGCGCTGGAGGTGGAAAAAGAGATGACCCGGGAAACCTCAGGAGTCGGCTTGGCTCGCATTGACACCTCAGGTAAATAACAGCATTTAAGCCGAGAAGCTGTAGGACTCCAGATGACCCCATCCTTTTTTGCAAGAGCAATTGCCACAGCTGCTCCATGAAAGCTGTCAATCCGTCCTTTCTTCTCGTTGTCAATGGACGAAGTGCAAAACCACCCCTGCAGGCAGTTGCATGCTAGGCTACTAGACGGCCCTGACAAGACCAAGATTGTTTGACGCGCAGCATAAGCCATAACTGAACCGTGTTTTTTGCAGAAACAAGAATCTTACCTCCAGCCGCCCTGCTCCAATGCAGTTCTCGAAGGCAGCGGCTTCGTCTTGCATAGTTGAACGCCATGCGTGCGCAACGCTGGCACTGTGAAGAAAATGATCCCGTGATTGGGTGATCGTGCCAATGGAGGTATGTGTCAAATTGAATAAGTCGTGTTGATCACGATCAAGTTCAGTCATCGCATGTTTTGTAGCATAAGTACTGACGGTGCTGGGGTTGGTTAAGTTGCGTGTTCGTGCTCGACCGATGGCACTGCGCTCCCAAGTGAAACTGCGCACTATGATGACTGTCGTTGCGCCTACTGTTTGTCGCAGCGAATATCGTGACCTAGAAGGAATCTTCAAGTTGTACCCTTCCAGTATGCTACTTCATGGGCGCATAGAACGAGGGGGAGGTGCGCATTGTTCAGTGCTGAATGCTGAGAATCAAGTGTTGAAGAGTATACGACTTGAAAACATTTGCAAACTCTCAGACACCAACCTGCCATGCAGCTCACATTCTGAAGTTGAAGTTGAATGTACTTGATTAGTGGGTGTGCCATCCCGGCTAACATGCTTCAAATGAACGGTGATGCAATCGTAAACTTGCATATCTAAGTGGTAACTGCAATGCAAAAGGCATCAGCAGCAACGGCGGCGGCAATAGTAGCTCGTTGTTTCCCGAGCATCGCTGAGGTCCAGGCATGTTAGGGAGCTCCTACGTTGAGGCACGTTGTATGGAGAGCATGGTGGCGAGTAGCCGGTCACTTTACAGGCACACAGTGGTCCGACTCATACCTGGAGGGCTGTCCGGGCCGCCGGTCAAAGCAGTTGGCACATGTTCGCAGGGTTGGAAGCTGAGCCTCCTTGACGAAGGGTCCCAACATGTCCCAACACTCGATTCCATGCAAAACGTATTGTAACCTCTGCATTGCTTATGACGATGACCTCATGTCACCTTTCTGCATTGGCTTTCAGGGTCAATTTCCTTTGCCCGCTCAGGCGGCCCACGTGCGTCATCACTGCTCTCTTGCTGCATCGTGTCTTTCCTCATGGCTTCCACAGCAGCTTCGACTCTCAATGAGGGCACGGGGCACTGTGAGAGACAAGGCAGTGAGGGCGCGGATTTTTTTGGCAGCAAGCGATGAGCAGCAGTTTGCTCGGCATTGCACACACAAGAGTACTAATTATTGCTGGAGGGCAGCTCAGGACAGATCCGCCAAGCGAATTATCTCCACAAATCTGCCTTCAGTTGTTCATCATTTGCATACAGGGTTGTCTAGAAGATCTTCATATGTTTACTACACCCAGAAGCGTGTGCTCCACATGGCTGATGCATCGAACCCTGCCAGCGCAGGAAGTTCAGCCTCCTTTTGGCTGGCAGGTCCGCAGTTAATCCTTAATTAAGGTGAAAGGCTTGGAAGGCAGGCTTTGAAACTAAAGGCGGCGCATCGCTGGTAGGCAGGCCGCTTGCTGGAACCCAGGACCTCGGCCGAAGCTGCGCAACGGGGACGAGGTCGGTCCTTCCCACGCAGCTGAATGCATGCTCCCTGTAGCTGAAAGTACATAAGCTCAGCTCTGCTTCTCATATGTATTGTAAAAAGGGACCTGAATCAGGTGGTAGTTGCATGGTTGCGTTCCGGACGTACTGGCTCCTGGGAAGCGCCATGAAGGTCCTCCCAGGCTGCATCCGATAGCCCGGGCACGGGGAGGTGCTCCGAGATGTCTGAATGACCCACCTGAGTCTACCCAATAAAACCTCAAGGTCACCAGAGACCATACGGCACAGCCACACCCCGGCCTGTTGCCTGTGATTTGGCCGCCCGTCTGGCTTGTGACTACTGCTGTGGCGCATACGGAACACCAGACAGCAGAGACACAGTTGCCTCCCTTCAGTACCAACACCTTGCAGCCACCTATGCAATCAAATCTCCAGGTCCATGGCAAAGGACTGTCAGCCCAAATAAAGCATCACATGCATCAAATGATCAGTCAATTCGTGACAAAACCCAGGCATGCTCGGCCGCTGACTGGGCTCGACCTTGTAACGGGAGTGGAGCTGGGACCTCAAGGAGAAGTCAAGATAGTAGGTATATTCTTGGGCTTTTGGGGTTGCATATCCTCAGATCCCAACGGGCATGCCAGCCGGCACATGTCCCATGGAAGGCAAACTGGGCACTTCCTGACGAATGCCTCGGGCATGTGGGAAAGGCCATGACCCAGGTGTTGCCCAAGGTGACCTTGCATCGCAACTCCGCGGGCGCGAGATGACTGGAGGTTGCACCAGCCCCACGCGCCAAGGGCTCGAAGCCCGAGGCGCTGCCAGCGACGGAGCCACTGCCGCGCTAACAGCGCTAACAGCGCTGCTGCATCTTCTGCGCTCGAAGAATGGAGGAAGGGAGTGGCGATGAACCTGTGTGGCGTCGGTTCCCTGCCGTTCCATGGGGCCAGGGCTCACTGCCCGTTGGCCTGATGAATAGATACCAGGTAGAGATGGCCTCCTGATGGGAGGCGTGCGACACGTATCTTGAGCCGTCTGAACAATTGCTCTGGATGCCCTGGCTGCTGGCATCTGAACGGCTTCCACTTGAAGCTGCGCGGGTCGCTCAATGACTTGCGGCTTGGCCCAAGCCCGGGTTGGAGTGGGAACTGCCCTGAGAGCATCGCAGGAAGCGAGGACTGACTTGGTTGGGGCAGGTCTGGCCACCTCGCTTGAATCGATTGCCGTCGAGTCCTCCAGCCTCTCCGTCGTTGGGCTAGGGAAGCTTGGCGTCGCAGACTCGGGCTGTTCGGATCCATTGGGCCGTTGGTCAACCACAATGGCAGACCAAGGCGACCAGGCAGCAGCTCCCGAAGGTTCAGTGTGTTCTGGGGAGGCTACAGAAGCTCTTTCGCCTATTTCCGCCTCAGCCTTGCTTCGGGGGATTGGGGGCCCGGCCCCGTTCCGTGAGCTCAGTCTGCCCTTCGCGGCCTGATGAAGGATGCGGATGAGCTGCAAAAAGTCGTAGGCTTCTCGGAGATCGTCCTCTTTCTGCCACTTGAGTGGAAGCAGGGTCACAAGCGCTGGCAGCAGCGGCACAGCCTCTCGAGGCTGAAGCCACGGAAGGAGCAGCCGAGTCAACGGCCCAAGCGACTTTTCCTCTTCTCTGGGTAAGCCTGCACACATCATCCGCGCAGCAGATCGCAACTCTCGCAGGGAGCGCACAACACTTTCCGTCGCATGGTTCTGTGTGCTCACGGGGGCCGCCACATCAACGAAGGCAAGGACCGCATCTCTACCGCCATGGGAAATGTGGAGTTGGAAGAACACATGGCCACGCGAAGTTTCAGCGTTGGCTGGCAGCCTTTCAAAATGTCGTCGCGAGTCGCCTTCAAACAGCAGGTTGTATGCCTCAGCCTCTGTTTTGACCGACTGGAGCAGGCCCGGCAAATGCACCTCAGACCCATCGTTTGACCCTCGAAGGTTGACGGTCTTCTTGTTTGCCGAGAGGAGGTCAATGATGCTGTCCCGATAAATCTCCTGGCAGTAGGCGACAGATCTGCGGCGAAAATTGAACAAGAATCGCAGATATCTGCAGGAGAAAGCGCTAGTCACCAGTCGGTTTTCAGCCGAGCTGCAAAGAAGGAGACCTGGACCCGATAATCCGCTTTGCGGCTCCCAGGCAGAGCGCTCAAGGTCTCAAAAAGGAAGGAGATGGAGCGTGGGACCAGGCCTCTATCCTCGAAGCGACGTGGGCCCCCGGTCAATGTGAAGGTCTTGCCACCACCACTGGCACCCAGAGCCAGAAAGCAGCAACTGCACATGCATTCGACGGCCTCCTGGCATTCTCTCCGCAAAAACCCTTTCATTCAAGTCGTCTGGATAAGTTTCATGCTCCGGCCTGGACTGCTGGCCGAGCGACCTCCTGGAATATGAGGGCTTGCCCCCGGCCATCGTGCTCGAAGACTCGGTCGAACGTGAAATCACGAAGCATGTCCTCTGCCTGTGCCAAAGGCCCGGCTGACCATAAGATCAGGTGACTCAGAGCAGGTGACTCTTCGCGCCTGTCGGTCTTGAACACCTTCCAGCTCCTCACCTCCGAAGGAGAAAAGCGTGAAATGGCCGCGCTGCACTCCGTGCTGCACACTGTTCGCACCCGGCCTGAGCATGGCAGCTCCATCCGAACCGAGCTCCGGTTGAAGCTGATCTTTGGGCATCTTTCAGACTCCGGGTGGATCACGCAGTAGCAGCGAGCCTGCTCGGCTACGAGCGTAAGCAAGAACAAAGTTAGCATCTGAGCAACAACCTCCCACCTTGGCCGTGCCCAGCATGCCCTCGCGTAGCGCTGACGCCGTTTCGTGCCGCGTGACAGACAATGTCTCATGATGTCCCATGGCTTGAGCCCTCTACGATACCTTCGCCAAAAGCACTTCTGCCTCCCAACACATCCTGCATCTGAACCATGTTTGTCAGCCGTGGCGATTTTAGCAGCCTTAGCACCACGCTACTGAAACCGCGCACTCGAATCAGCCACACTCACCATTGGAAGTTGCGGAAAAGATACATGTCAGTAAGCAAGTTGGGACTTCTTGGACGGGTGTGGCCTTTTTCCAAGCAGGAAAAGTGGAACTCGAAAATTGGCCCGAAGCCCTGGGCGAAGCCCTGTTGTGGTACTGTGAAAATGGGTACTTAAGGTCTTTGGAGGAAGGCTGCGGTCCAAATGGTCAGCCTTCGGCCTTTGGCCCACAACTCAGGCCACGTAGATGCGCTTGAACACTAAGTCAATCTCACCTTGCAGCAGGTCCCTAGCAGCCTCGCATAGCCTAGCATAGACTGACTTCCACTGACTGCTTTGCACCAACCTTCAGCATTGACGAGGAGTTGCAAGGTCTCATCATAGGACTTGTCCTCAACCTCAAACTGCACAGAACGCCATCTACAAGAACACAGCAGACAGGGTGCTTCTTCTAGTCTCGCACATCCACGCCATTCACATAGGAAAGAAAGTCGCCGGGTTCGACCTGCACAACGCAACATGCAAAGCTTGAAAGCTCCGCAAGGATGCTTCGCCTCACCGTTTTTGAAGGCCGACCCTTCCTCCAACACGCGAAGGACCCAAACTCGACCAGGATCATTGGCACCTGGCAAATGTCGCAGACGGCACACATAGCACAATGTTGGGTGGGGCTGTTTGCACGCAAGCAGCGTTCTTCGAACTCGATACCCAAAGGCTTCAGGAGCTTGACCTGAAGCTCAGGCGGTCAAGCGTTGCTATGCGTTGCTACTGCTTGGCCGCCCATCGGACCTTAATGTCGATGGTCGTCATATCTCTGGCGCCCACCTATGGACGAGTAGAATCCCCCAGCACGACCCCTCCTGTCCTTCTGGCCTCGTTCACGCCTTTCCTCTGCGCTGCGTTCCACATGGCCATCTGTTTCATGGACAGATGAGTTGCTAAGTTGCGAAACACTGCAAAGATGTTTTGCCTTGCGCAATCGAACTTTCCTTTCGTAGGCCGATTCCTTGTAGTCCGGCGACTGCTTCCTGAATGTTTGCAGGACCTTCACCTATGCCGTCCTCGGCAGCAAACCACCCGCACCTTTTTCGAGCGTTTATTCGCTCCAACTGTCGCTGGTATGCCGCCTCATGCAACAGCAAGCAGGAAGTATCGGCACCGTCCCTCACACTTTAGATGCCAGGATAATGAGCGGGCGGCGTCTTTCCAATCAGTCCTAGGATTCAGGGGCAGAGGTGGAGGCCAAAAGCTCTTGACACAGCTTGGTTTTGTCTTTTGAGGCCAAGCAGCTCTTTCTCTTCCTCTTCTTGTCCTGCTGCTTTATCTTGAGGTGACGCGTCAGCTTTCTTGCCCTTGGCAAAGGCAGCTGCAACCCTTACGGGCTTGCAGCCTTGCAATTCTTATTGATGAATGTCTGGTTGTTGCCTTCTTGCTCCCACTACCATTGCCATCATAATGACAGCAACTACGATAATACATGTCTTCTTGCCTCCAGCAAAGCCAAAACCATTGCAGGGAATGGGATGCTATCACCCCACAGCTGCTACATGTAGGCTGTACATCTCTAGTAAGGACTGCTTTTCAAGGCATGAAAAGCAAGATCTAACTGACGGAGCTTCTCGAAACGGTGGTTCTCTGAACGACCGTAGAAATCTCTGAGAGTTGCGGGCCCACTCGCAGGTCTCTCCTGTGTTTTATGTCGGTTCTTGTTGCCAAACTCCTCGTCTGGCAAGGTGCTGGCTCGCCCATCCCTCCAAGGAAGGCGTCTGCCTAGCCAGAATTCGAATGATGGTAATCATGGCAATCCTAAACACCCAGTGGCTAAATTGCGGCGGGTGGAAGAATCTGGTAGTGTGCATAATATGAGGAAGAAGGCAGAGAACACAGTGAGCACCCACAAGCTCGCCGCAGCCAGATTCAGCCCTGCTCTATGCGCCTGGGACATGGTTGCGAAGATACTGGCCCTGAGTTCAAGTCCAGTCATGTCTTCCTCCAGGCCTTCGTTTGTTTCACCAACGAGGCTCCGGCACGGCGCCGAGCAGGCCCACCATCAGCACTGGGCGCCTCACTTGAAAGGCAGAGGCATGGCCACCCGGCATGATCACAGCTCTCCTGCACCTTGGGCGTGGCCTCGACCTGTCCAGCCTGAGAGATCCAACTGACAGTCTGCCATTGCCGCGTCTACATCTTCTGCACTTCCATGCCGCCCAGCAGCATCTTGAGGCCAGTGGAGACCCCGTTCGTCGGAGTCTGCCCCACTTGTCAGTATGGCTGCAGTAAGAGGGAATATCCCGGAACGTTCAGTCGGGATCAGTCGGGGAGTCCAGCAACGTTCTTCCATAAGACCGTGCAATCAATCTCCTGGACATTTTACTCTCGAATCGCCTGTTCTGTCAAGCTCTCCTCTTTTTATAGAAATATCCGTATATAGGCAGACTGCAGTGTTGTCCACTCTCTGACTTTGTTCCAGTGGACCTGCTCCAACACGTAGCTGAGTCCTCCTAGCACCCTGAATGCGTTTAGCACGGGAGGCCTAAGCACTACCGCAGAAACAAGGAAAACCAGAGGATCGCCGGTGGGAGCAGGGGCCCGAAACTGGAGCCGCACTGAGGCCGACTCCTGGAAACAGCCAAGCATTGCCTGGCCAAGTCCTTGGGCAAGTCCTTAGCAGGACATCTTGAATCCAGAGCCTCACCCAAGCCAGATGGGCTTTTCATGATCTACCGAGAGCCACTCCAACGCCTTGGCGCGGTCTGCTACCGCCACTACCAAGAGAGCACAAGACCCAGCGCATCCACTTGTAGTACGTGGTATATGAAATTTGGTATATGTGGTATACGGGAGAGCTGCTTAGTCTCAGCCGATTTCTTCATCGTTGACTCATGCCTAGCTCTATAAGGGCCTAGCTCATGCCTGGCAGGTCTTGAACATTTGCACGTTGGTGACCACTGCGAGTCAAAAGAAATCAATAGGTTGCTGTGCCGCTGCGCAAGTCGTGCACACTGGCAAAGCCTGCTTGAAAGTGTTCAAAGGTGTGACGGCAACTACGAAACAAGTTGTTGGTCCTTTGTGGGTTGCGGCTTCCTATGGGGCGCAGCAAATGCTTGCGTCACCATGGAAACGGCAGAGCCCAATGTGCTGCAGGAATCCTGCTGCAGCACCCTACAATGAATCAAAGGGCCTGTCACATATCAGCTCTGATTACTCCTTGCCAGCTCTGCAGTCAAGAGCTTGGGCAGCGCCTTGACTGCATGAATCAGATCAAACAGGAGACTTGCCTTCTGACAAGCCTTCTAACTCTGTGTTAAACGATAGCCAGTTGACGCGGCTGATCGCTCAAGGAGAGGCTACCCTCCTTGTTGCCGCTTTTGCCGCATACCTTCCAGCATCTTGAGCTCTTATCTTCAACGGGGAGACAGTCCAGACAGCCGAAAGCAGCCACGAAAAAACAGCATGTGTAATTTGCAGCACTTAGGCTCAAGTGAATTTATGTCCTATAACAAGTGCAAATGTTGATTGCATCCCATTCGTACACCAGTCAACTTTACATGTGGCATCGGCCGCTGGACACATATGGTCAACATACCCTCAAAAGCTTTCTGCGTCGAACACCCTACAGGCGCTTGCAAAATCACAAGCATTCCCCGCTGACCACCGCAGTGAATTCCGAAAAAAGGCCCGCTTCCGCACTCCATGTTTGATGTCCTCCGTTTAAAACAATATTTGAGTATATATGATATATGTATATATATATACGTATAAAGCTAAGGTGCTCTGAACATGAGTTCACTCCAACAAAATCATGTACAGGTTCACCTGCTGTTGAGGCGTCCGCGGGAGAAATATTTTCTGCGCTACTGAAGCCTTAGCTAGATGCAGTGCCACTGCGAAAGGCTTCTACAGGGTCCCTGCTGCAACTGCAGGGGAGGCATCTCCAAAATCCTTGCGACCCTTCCTGACTTTGTGCGAGATTACTGGAAGCGGCAGGGCGAAACCGCCGAAGACCAAGATGCCAATCCTGCCAACCCACTTCTGGACAAGCTCAGGCAATGGGTCTGAGCCAGCCCCGCTGGATGTGCAGCATGGGAAGCCCTGCAAACTGCAAAATGCTGCTCTTCACACGTCTTGTGCTTTCAGTTAGGGGGACGGCATATCGCTCGGGACTTGGATTGTCTGAGCAGCATCAAATGACACATTGCACACCTAACCCGAAAAAGAATCCCCAGCGCGGATCTGAACAGCTCCGACCAAATCCGTATGTCTCGTCACGCGGCAGCTTTGCAAAGAAGGCGGAAAATCCTCAAGCAAAGGCATGGCAAAGGCAAAGGGAAAGCGAGCTGCAAAACCTGCAAAAAACCTGCAGAGCGTCACAGTTTGTGGAAAGATATGGCAAACTGACCTAAACATCCTCAAGCACTCTGTGCCTCTTGAACGTCTTGGGGCACACATCAAGGTTCCAATTGAGTAACTCCAGGAAGCGTGCCTGAACATGTCGGTTTTCAGATGTATCGAAACTGCCTTGGTGAGCAACAGGGATGCAAGAGTGTTAGCAAGCTCCTCCAGCTTGTTCAGATCTGTAGTGCTAACACCACCAGCCTCAGATAGATTCAGATAGTTGCGCAAATCCAACTGAAGACACGAGCAAACATGAACCACGAAGTCAGATACTCGTGACAGTGCTGATACATCGACATGTTCATCAGCAAGGTTGCCTCAGCCATGCTGCTGAATAGACATGCAATGAGCCCCTGGCCGATGCGTAGAAGCTATTGTCATACATATAGCACTGTTGCTGCCTGCCATTGTGATTTTTGCATGAGACTGGCGCATTCCGCTGATTGGGCTGTACAATCCTCGGAAGGGAGGTAGCTGGCAAAGCAGGTTTGAGCTTAGCAATGCAGCCCCTGACTGTGTGTTTAGCCCGATGACCCTTACATCTTCCTGTTCGCGCGCCGGCATTCTACTCAGATTCTCCTTGCGTGGCTTTGTGCCAGCACTGCTCATCTAAAAGCTGGTCAGAATGTCATGTTCAAAGCCAAATTCGTTGTCAACACACCGGCTCCCTGCAACTTGCTACAACGCATTAACAATCCCTTGCCAAAGTTCACGCATACATGTTCGCTTTTGGTCTTCAATGCAATTTTTTTCTGCAGGGTGACAGGCCTGAGATGTTGAAACTAGGGCCTTTGTTTCCCCGCCCAAGTGCGGTTGGACTTTGACTTCCCTTCAACTTTCTGCAGCTGATCAAAGAGCCAGAGTCACTTCGCTGCGATGGTCACGGCCTCAGCTCACAGCGGTTGCCAGCCACGGGTAGCTGCCATAGCTGAAGAATGCTGAAGCTATCTCACCCCAGGTCCTAGGACCAGGGCTGCTAGGAGAAGCCGGTGAATTGTCTGGGTGTTCACGTCCACCTGTCGTCAAGAAGTTAGAATGCGGGGCCCAATGCTTATGTAGAGAAGACCAAACAGCTGACAACGGCTTAGACACCTCTGTGATCTGCAGTCACATCAAGCTGCCCTCGCCTTGCCACGGTTGGCCTCAGAGATCCTACACAAGTAGGCAAAGGCCCAGACCTTGGCAGCCGGAGCCAAAAATGCACAGAACATCACAGAACACAAAGCCAGACAAAGCCAGATGTAGCCCTTCGTGGGTTCGAGGCAAATGTCATTGCGTCACAGCAGCAATTCCTCAAGATGCCATAGGCAAAGCCATCCGGGATTCCATTAAGTAAGCAAGCTCCTGTACAGCTGCCAGATGTAGCTGTGGATGTCCGGAGGCTCACCGTTGAAGTCAAAACCTGGCACCCCACGCAGCAAACACCGCCCCAGCAGCACGCTGCAAACAAAAGCCCAATGAAAGCGTCAACTCCGCCAGCGCTGCAGTTGCGGCGTCCACTCGGGGCGTCCGCTGCTGCC